TAGAAGTCAGCTCCAAACCAACTAAAACTCTGTCAAAGAAGTCATTTGAGTGGCTTCATTTGTTCAAACGGATGGCCAAAAAGTCCATTTTAAACCTCACAGCTTAACAGTTAACATACTCTACAAGCGTCAGCATAACTTCCATCCATCCATTTCCACTGGATTGTGGTGGCAGCAGACTAAGAAGGGCTTTTCTAGATGTGCCTCTCCCGAGCAAAGGGAGGTGTTCCCAGGCCAGAAGAGATATGTAATCCTTCTAGCGAGGATTGGGTCTCCTCCAAGTAGGAAATACCCCAAAAACCTCCAAAGGGAGAAGCCCGGGAGTACAGATGGTGCCTTTTGATGCGAAGGAGACTTGACTTCAAGCTCCTCGACTGATCTCGAAAGTCAAGGCCAGCTGCCATAGTTAGGAAACTCATTTCACCCGCTTGTTTCCTTGATCTCGCTTGTTTGGTCAATACCCAGAGCTTATATGTCATTATTTCCTGACGGAGAGGTAGATCAGCTGGTAAACTGAGGGCTATCACTGCCATCCCTAGAGTAAGCCACCTCCATAAAACATATATGTAGTTTAACATTTAAATGTAAATCTAAATGTTAACTCTGTATGTAAGATCTAAATCTGGTGTCTGGAGAGCTTAGATATATCGTGAAGTGCAGCCAGATTTATGACTACACAGCAGAAAAACTCCACCTCACCTGGCTACACAATCTGTACCCGATCGGTTCTGTTCATACTACAATAGTCGGGCCTCTGCTGACGCTTGCATTTCCCCTCATATCGAACAAAGAAAAAGACATGGGGCTCACGTGGATGTCTCTGAAAGGCCGTGACTTTGCACTTTTCACGGGATATAGCAGCGAGTTACAGATCGGACTGTAGCACTGTGTCAATGTCATTATTAATGAGGTGTGTCGAGCACAGTGGGCGGACATAGCACATGTCCGCACATTCCCATAATCCTTCACTCAGCATACGTGGGGAGCTGTGCAAACGGACACCAACGCAGAACCATAAATCTAACTTTAGTCTTGTTATATTAGTTCTCCTATAGCTCTGCATTTTGATTTTACGCTCTCATCAACCTTGTTTACAGCCACAGCCGGCACCGCCAAACGCAGATTGACAAAGTTAGAGCCTCGCTGGCGAAAAGTCCAACATCTAGCAACTAAAAGACCCAGACGTTATTATCAGGAGTCTTTCTATATTTATCGTAAAATGTCAGATGTGAGTTCGTCAGCCTCTTTTAGAGAACGTCTGGCCACATTTTCATTTCTGTGGCCGTGTGCTTGCGTGACAGGAGAAGAAAACCAAAAGCAACGCATCATGAGAACTCGGTTTAATTATAATTGAGTTAGTTTAATTGAAGCATAGTAATGCGGGACAATTATGTCTGCAGATTATGGTGGTAATTAAAATGATTAGTATGTGGCAACCGTTCTTCCACATCCGGCAACCAAAACCTGACAGGAGGTCTTGGAGGAAGATCCCCGTCCTGATAGTTTGATCTGTACATAAAGTTGGTGTAATACCCTGCTTGTGTGCCTAAGCTTTGAGGGCAGATTTGCCAAATTGTTGCATAATCCCCGACTCTGATGCGGCAGAAAGGCAATGAAAGACAACAGACCCCAGCCGTCGCTGTGAGTCGGCTGTTTATCTTGTTACTGAAAGTGATGTCTGAAGAACTCAGAGGAAAATCCCTGAACTGATGTCATGAAGCAAGCTGCAAAAACACTCCGGAGGTGACCAGAATCCAGTCGGGGCAAGATCATACAACGACTGAGACAAAATGATTCAAATTCACGTGATTGTGTCTGGAGCTTTCCCTGAAATTTTTGGAGCGCATTAAGCACAGTTGTCAACAAAGAGGGATTTGCTGAAGAACAGGCAGTTGAAGGATCTTGTAAGAGCACAAAACAAACACGGGGAAACGACAACAACCACACGAGCTACAGAAAAGCCACGCCATAATCTGCTCTATTCAAAAGACATATGCTAGAAAAACACGCGTAACATATGCGGTGGGCTTATTTCCACATTCTGCACGCCTCCCAGGAGTACAAAAAACTAGTTTGCAATTATTCTACCGTGTATATATTCGTACGCAACGCCATCAATGAACACCCACCAAATAACAAAGGTGGGACGTCTTTCTGTTTGGCAGCTAAATCTTGGAAGACTATCTGCCACAATGGTGGATAAATGTTTCTTTTCCACCTATACTGTGCAAAGACCCACCAAACGAGGGGTTTTCCAGGCTCAGAATGGGCCTTTGGGGGGCAACTAAGCATAATCGGTCTGCATACAGCGAAGGCAATGAATTGTGCAACCTTATTTAACAGAAATAGATGCATTTTCTGGTTATTTTTTTACTATTTGATAAATAAAAATGACTACTATGCTGGCGCATATGAAATCCCAATAAACGAAATTGGTGTAAAAAGGTGAACTGGTGAATTTTGTGGGGCTTTTTTTTGGCTAAAACCTCTTTGAGGGCAACAAAAATGTCTGTATGCAGGTTCAACCCATGGATACTCTGCCTCTGATTGGCTCTGACCTTGACATTTTTGTCTACCTCTGTAACCATCTAACCAACCGACTAACCATGGCTCTACAACAAGTTCTTGCCACTCCGGGGCTGAGTAGTGGCTTGTCTTCGCGGCATTCGTTCCAGCCACTTCCACCCCATTGGAGCGCTCCCCCGGGGTGAAAGTGCCCCCCTGACCACACAGAATATTCTGATATTCATCATTAATTGGATCTGAATATCCAGAGACCAGAAAGTTCTATTGGGACCAGCCCTACTAGTTATTATAACAACTATGAACAATAAATATTAACAACAAATGAGCCTTCCAGCATCAAGCCCTGCTTGTATCTGGACCTCCGACTTGACAATCCGACAGCCTTGCTATCCGACATAGAAGAAAATTTTACATTTAGTGTCGGATTATCGAGTCACGACTGCTCATCACCCTCTCAGTTACCACCACAGGTAGTGTTTAAACAAGAAATAGACAAGAAAGAAACAAAAAAACAAAGATGGAAACAGGCTTCTTCTACTCCTTACCGTGCCGCTCACTCTGACGTCATAAAGTCGTCCCCAGTCATCTTCGTGGCTGTCGACCATCATCATACTGTCATCCTCCTCCAGGAACCACTCGGCCTGCAGGTCAACCTTCACCTCCTCCCCCATCGAGTGCATCCCCACAGCTGGGAAAAGCCCCTCCGCCAACACGGGAACCTCTACTGAACCCACCTGGACAGGAGATGGACGTAAAGCAGCAGTGAGGGAACCAACACAAACAAACCTGACATGCAAACAGAAAACGACAGGGGGGGAAAAAAAGCATATCTTCAGGACCATTAAGATTAAAAGCACCTACCTCTTTGCCATTTTTGGTGAAAAAGACTGTTGTAAAACCGGCTTCTATATTTTCTGAGTGTATTCCACAGCCGATGCGGTCACCTCGGGCACATTTTGGCCCAAACTGCTGCCCAACAGGGTTGCCATTGTATAACCTGAAAGGAAAGAAAAGATTAAAAACCAATGATTTGCTACTGGAGTAAGCGTGTGACTCTAAAAATCATACTTGTGCTTGTGAGGTTACATTACAGGAACAGAGTCTACCTGTATGGGCTCATTGGGGCTATGGAGACACCACAGAAGACAACACACGCTAAAGGTTTGATAATTATATCCTTTTCTCATTTGTCTTACTTTGCAATCTTGCACATCCTTTTTTCCCCCCTGCAAACCTCCTGCTTGCCACAACTGTCGCTCTCCGCCACAAAACGGGCAAAAGAATGTAAACAAGATTAATTTTGCAGCCAGCGATTGCGCCGCAGTGGCCTCCCATCCAGTTATGTTAGCCAGACAAGGCACCACTTCCCATTATCTCACGTAATGACAAAAGGTATCAAAATATGTAAACACAATTACTTGGAGGTGTGTAATTACGGCTCATTATGGCCTGGTAATGTACTGTTTAAAGCTGCAATTATCATATCATCAGGTGAAATCAGATGATGAAATGTGAAACAGTTCCTAGTGTAATGGGACTGCTGTGTACTGTGACCCACATGTACGGATCCGGCATTCAAGGCAAATATACAGAATTTCTGGTGGAAGTCACTGAAGCTCCCCTTGCGTAAGGAATTGCTGCTTTTGTGGTTTTTAAAGAGCCCACATTCTTCAGTATTTACAAAACAAACTTGCATTTTTGGGGTCTAGTAGTTTACTTGCTTTACTGTACGAACACCTCTTCCCACCCTCTGAATTGTACCGTTTTAGCTGCGGCCCGTGTAAAGGACCCTTTACTCAAAGCCTAGCCTACTGTAAAATGGTCAGCTGGCCCACCTAAAGTGGTTATGTAGTGTAACTGTCTGAGCAAAGGGATGCTGCTCTGGTAAGGCTGCTAATGCTGACTGCAAAGATGTTCCTCGTTCTTTGTTTGTGGGCCAAAGCATCCGCTAGTCAGGCGTTCTGCAATGTTGTGATGTTAAGAAGAAACAGAAGAAGTGCCTGGACTTCAAATGAGGCATCACAGGTAAGGAGCCGAGTTTACTGTCAGTGAGAGAGAAGCTGCCTTTGTAATGGACTGTGGGCTTTAGAAGCTCTGACATGCACAAAAGAAGTTGAAGCTCCATACCACACTAAAGGAAAGGGGAAAACCCAGAGAGCACGCTACTGGACCTTTAAAAGCTGTGTTATTTCAAACTCAGTATCTGGGTTTTGGACGTTTTGGCACCGAGCTCTGAGAAACTATCACTTCTTTTCTAGTTCTATAAACTTATTGGCTAAATGAACAATCAAAAAGGAAAGAAAAGAGAAAGAAAGAAACCGCTGTTAATTGAAGCCCTACAAATAATACAGGGTTTGGATCGACGGGGCCAGAAGTTCTATTTCTGTATCAAGTGTATTTTATGCTGGTGAAAAAAGCTAAGAAAAACTAAAGAGCTTAAAGGAGAATGATGTAGGGAATTACTGGTGTAGTCATGTGTGGATGCAGCAGCAAGAGGCCACAATCAATTTTCCCCAAACCATGCAAGAAACCAAACTGCGCTGTAGTGTATAGACGACTGTGGTTTGACTTACTTGCCGTTGTCAGCGTGGTAAGCTACAGAGTATGGCAGCCAGCCAGGCTGGTGGTCCAGCCTGTAGAATTTAGGCACCAGGCCCACAGCAATGGTCCCCCTCACCCCTGTGTCCACTATTGTCACCTACAAACACACACATTTAAACACACAACAGTGTCACTACAGCCGTGGCTCCGGTTGCATTTCATTTAACCCCAACTGCCACATGCGACTTTTACTTATGTGGGTGAAATTAAGAGGGTATGTTTAAGAATAACAGCATGAATTTACAGCTGAGAACCAAAATCCAAACACAAGTCTTAAGTTTTACTGAGGAACTTCACTGAGCTGTCGAGGAAGCCTCCCAGTAAATCTCTGCCTTCCATAGACCTCCATCTGCGTGGGAGATCTGGGAAACCTGCGGTACTGACTCCAGTACGGTTAAACAGTAGTCTAGAGATGTGTCTAAACTTACCATCAGCCGAGTCCGACTATTAAAACATGTACTCGATAGAAATCAACAGCGTAATTCTGACAAGTCCAACTTTTCATTCAAGATACCATCGTTCTGACAAGTCAAAATGAAAGCTTTATCTCTGTAATTCAGTTTCGATTGGTCAAAAGATTGTTGTAGATATCTTTCATACCATTACGACTAGTCTGAAGTGTTATGCATGATGCTGCTCATACCAGGCTTCCCACTGGACATCACTCCAACAAGGGATGAATAGTACGAGCAGAACTAAGGGCAGCTGCTGTGAGTAAGATTTAATTATATTGATCTTTATTGTCATTGCACAGACTACAAGCACTAAGACAATGAAATGCAGTTGAGTGTCTAACCAGAGGTACAAAAGTAGCAGTAAAGTGGATTATACAGTACGATGCAGCAGCGCTTCAGACTCACTTTTTCACAGGTAGCAGAGGTGTGACCAACTTTTTTCATTTGACATTTCACAGGTAAAACAATGACTTGCTGAACATCTTATCGATAGACTCTATAATTTACCGATGTTCCCTAAACGCCCCACATTGCAGCTGCAGTAGCTGCTGTTGGTATCTGTGATGTGCTCAGACAGGTGTGCGACCAAACATGACTTTAAAAAGAGCAAACTAGGGTGTTTGTCCAAAATGAAACCAAGGGATTTTTTATTTATTTATTTATTTTTACATGTGCCCTTTTCTATGAGCAGAAAAAAACAGTGAATGCAGGTGCGTACGTTTTTCATGAGAAGACGCATTTTTAAGCATAAATACACCAAAGTTATAAAAAGTACTACTTTCCACCATTGTGGTTAACACAGCAGCTTCCTGCACCGGTTACAGCGACACTGATATGATGATCGTCATGCACTTGCACCAATGAGACCACTTGAAATTTTAATTCACACAGTTGCAAAAAAAAAGGTCGCAAATGCAACCATTGTGGTCGCCGCCTGGAGCCCTGTGCAGTATAAACAGTATGGACGGAGCGGTATGAACACAGTAAGATATGAATATACACATGTGCATACAATGTAAAATAGATCATATAAATAAACAGGTGGAGATAAACGGGCGTATGAACAGTGTAAACAGTATAAATGGTATGAGATAGATGCCGTATATACACAGGATGAACAGCGTAAACATTATGAACGGTGAAAATACAAGAAGCTTATCAGCAAGAAGTCAGTAAACAATGAGAGCGTCGTACAGTATTTCTCTTCAGACGCACTCCAGGACTTACAACAACGTCTGACTGGGCTCAGAACACTGATCTTCTGTTGTGGAGTGACTTTGGCTGAGTTGCAGCGCCATAGTTCATCTAAAAAGCCGCTTGTTGTAGCTTCTGAATGAACTACAGATATCAGCAGGGTCATTTTGCCAA